TGGCTAGTTGCACACTTACCTTGTACAAGTCATATGTAATGCATTGACCAAAAACACAAATAAAGGTGGTAGCTACCGATAACATCAGCTTTAATAAAATAATAATAAAAAAAAAAAAAAAAAAAAAAAAAAGAATATGATTTTCATATTCTAAAATTTTAACTACTGATGCTTTGTGATGTAAGGGGCTTCCACCATTTTTTAAAGTTTTGCGAAAAAATAAAGATACATGATCATGATTTTTACATTCCACAGTTGCACATGAAAATGTCTTGATTTCCCACCTTCTGTGCTTTTGCATTAACTCCCATCTATAATATACAAAAATATGTATATATAGTGTTACTTGATTCGGAAAGTACAGACCATCGATAGCATAGTTTGGGTTAGTTAAAACACCATAAGAAGGTGTTAAAAATAAATTTAACCAAGAAAGTGCATCTTTTTTAAATTGAAGAGGATCTGTTTCTTGATTACAAAATGCTTGATATAAAGTATCGAATTGATCTCATAATTGACGAATAAGTTTTGCATGACTAGGATAAAATAAAATACTAAGATTAAATGATCACAAAACTTTTAATTTGTCTTTACCTATAAGTGAAGTATAGTTCCAAATATGAGATTCATGATTTTCCCAAAACTCAAAAGACATACCAATTCTTTTCATCTCATCAATAATAATTTTTCAAGATATATCATTAAATAATCCATGAGCCTTAATTTCTGCAATTACTAAAATCCAAAGTCTATCAAATATTTGAAGCAAAATATGAAGTTCATCGCAAATCCAATTTTCAAGTGGAATCATGTCAAATAGAGGTGCATTAATATGACCATTTATATTATTCCAATTTAATCTAAACTGATCTATTGTTTTAGTAATTCTCCAGTCTGCTTATGTATTTTCATGCTGATTTTTATTAATATTACACCAAGGACAAAAGTAGGTAGAATTGGCAGCATTTAGACCAAGACATATTGAAAGAAATTTTAAATCTGCACTAAAATAAAACTCAAAATTCCAGTGTGTTTTTTCTATTTGCAATCTATTTTTTTTTAAAAACCATAAATCTTCTAATAAAGTACTTAATATAAACTTTAATGTTTTATATTTTTCAGCACCTGGATATAATGTTGTTGTATAATGAAAGTCTGATTCATGGTGATGATTGATATCATTTAAAATCATAAATGTAACCATTACATGCTTAATCTTATGACCAACATTTCTACCGTCACCCGAAATTCGCAAGTGAACAACTGGATCAGTATATTTTAAAGTATTACTTTGTTCTAAATATGGTATAATGTAATTAAGAAGATCCTTAATACTACATTGTGCACCAATTCTAGTTATATTAATCATTTCCTGTTCAATTTTAGGATCTGTAGAATCTTCTTCAACTTCTAAATAATCGAGATTTACTAGCATAATTTTTATATTGACTCCCATTTGTTTATTTAATAATATACGTTCATTAGATATTGCACCTTCACGTGGAATTGCAGGAATAACTGTAGCTATTTGTTAGTAACTTTCTCATGAAACTTTACCCTTATTTAGAGCCTGAATGACAGCTAATTGATGTTGTTTTGTTTTAATTAAATTTTCTTTTCCAAAATCAATATGAAAATTATAGTTATTAATAGAATAATCTATAGCTTTCATACTAATATAATCCTTTTTTGAATAATAATTTTGTGATGCAGATTTTAATAATTCAAGTGCTTGATTTCCAAATTTTTTTGCTCATTTAATAATCGTAAAATTACTATAGTTTTCAATAGATTTTAATTCTCTATTTTTTGTTTTACATGCTTTTTGTACAGATTCAAGTTGTAATCCAAATATTAAAGTTCCTGACCATGCTGTTTTAGAATTTGAATTTATAGCCTATAAACATTATATGGATTAGGTTTTATTTATAATATACATAATAAATTTAAAACAAATTAATTTTTTATACCTTTTCCCACTTATTAGTGACTGAACTTAAAGATGTAGAGCTTAATTTTGCTCAAAATTTTTACTATAAGAAACATGAAAAATCGGTTGATTATTTTCATAATTTATACAACAGTAAATGGTTTTTTTTTTGTCCTATAGTAGTTTTTACACCATATTGATCAGAAATTTTATACTTTTTCCTTTAGAAATAGATGTATAAGCTGATAGTGGGGCATTTAAATATACTCCTTCTTCGATAATTTCATAACAAAAACTACATTGGACAATATTATTTTTTTTTTCTTTATAAACTATGATAGGGCTTGATGGATATAAAGAATCTTTTTCTATTTCAAGGGTCATTATTAATTTTATTTAAAATGTACAGATATAAGTTTGTTTGAATTTCAGAAGTACAGCATGTTATTTAGATCATTAGGTTTTATTATTATATTTATTTTAAGAAGCAAAACATGATCAAAATGCAATAATTAGCCTTAAATATTTAAAGTGTAAATACATACATACATATAAACTTTTGATCCTTCCTAATATGTATAGTATTGAGGTCTAAAAACAGTAAATCTATAGTGTAAGCAAACTTTAAACCATTGAAAGATACTTTACTGTAAATTTATTTGCTGCAAACATTTCTTTATAAGTAATGGCAAAGAAAAATTTAACCAGACTGAGTCCCGATCAGAAACATGTAAGGTACTTAAGTAAATTTAATTACATCTCCAGTCTATAAATAGTAAATTTGAAAACCTAAAATTTGATTTTCCTTAATATCACTTATAGTGAACACATTTAATAATTATTTTGCCAATTCTTGAGTAAAAATGCTTAATTGTAGGATTGCAAGAATTATATACCAACTATACATAGCATGTACATACATATATATATGTATTGTATAATATATATATACATAAATATGGTAATATTTGTTAAAATATAGCCTGGGCTAAATTAAAATGAATCTGAGTAGTGCTTAATTAATAGGTTTTTTAGTATAGCCAAAAGTAGGGAACTTGGCATGCTCAAAATCATTTAGCAAATAACATGACATACTATAAGTATAGTAAAAAAAAATTTTACTAATCAGATTATACAAAAATAATTTTATAATAAAGGCATGCTATCCTCTTTTTGAGATAATGCCAAAAGTAGAAATATCTTTCATGTATCAATTAATTTGATTGGTCAATAATTATTCTTCAGATCACTATAAATTATTAAAAAATCAAGAGTGGATCTTCTTTAGTATAGGTGGGAAATATAAGAAATAAGCTTTGCTAATGATTAGTAATCATTAATTTTTAATAGCGGAGTTGTGGAGTTTGCTCATCTATACTAAAGAAAATCCTCAAGGGTAGATAATGACAACTTGGACCAGAGGAGTAATGTTTTATAAAACACCTCCTTCCTGTCTTGAAGCATATAAATAAGCTTGGATCAGAGGATGAAAAAGAATTAACAAAAGCACTTTTCAAATATTCAAGCCACTTCCTTAATGTGAAAAGAGAAGTTAAATAATTCTGTAAAAAAAGATAGTTTGTGCACTTATATTTGTTCGAAGAGAATTTGTTGACAATATGGCAGACTTATTGTAATAATTTTATAATATTTGAGTACTGCTGAAGGAAAATGAGACTTCAGATTTTCAATTTATCTTTACTAATCATATTGGTGGATTTGCACATCACCCAAAATTTTTTGATGCGCCTAAATTTGACTTCATATTAGTGTGTTAGTAATTTTTATAACGTTGACATAAACTAAAATTTGCGAATCAAAAATTCTTTTTTCAAGTTCTAAACAATTTTTGCTGGAGACAATGCTAAGTGGTAGATCACCTAAAAATACAAAGCCGTGTACAGCATGTGGTGATCTTAAAAGAATAAAAGATACTTTCGGTATTGTGGTATGAAAATTTTCATGTTTATATCAGTATATTTAACAAGATCTTAGCTTTAATAATTTTAAAACAGCTTTATTAATCTTAAAATAGGATTAGCAACTTATAGTTGAACATTTGTTTATTAGTTATCCAGTTAACTTACTTACATACTTTGTATAAGTCAATGTCTCAAGATTCAAGCTCTAAAGGAATTTTTGGTATAATTTCTTACATTGCTCTAGAGGTATTATATACAGATGGGAAAGAGTATACTGTAAAATCAGATATTTATTCTTTTGGGATTAAAATATCAGAGATCTTTACTGGATATTCTCCAAGATAGTGAATATAATGATTTAGAATGGAATTCCAAAGTTGCAATCTTATATTACATAATTAATGCAAAATTAGCACATAAAGATTTTTATTCTGAAAATATATTAATTTTGGATTATTAAAAAATTTATATAGCACAATAGCTAATTCATTAGCAGTTGATTAGTTGGGAGGTTCAGCATCTATGCATTTATTCATTAAATCCAAAAATAGTTGAGGAACTCATATTTAATTTCGGGTCTATGATCTAAGCAAGTTTTCATTACTAAATTTTCATCATGCAAAGTATCATAATATGATTTGAAAAATGAAAAAACCAAATTATACGAGCAAGTTGAAAAAATTAAAGACTCAAACAAAAATTTAAATCAAGTTATATCAATACGACTCAACTACCAGACACATAAACAAGTTATTTATACAAGCCTGGCTTTTGAATTATCAAAATTTTCAAAACCAATAAATTCTAATCCAGTATTGGTATATACCTTTAAATAAATACAGGGCACGTGGTTTATTTAAGAAAAAATTTTAAGTGTTTAGTAAGTTTAACATTTCATAAGAAACCTTTTACTCCAAACCATCTTATTTTTTTGCACTGATTTTTCAAATTATTTAGTATAAATCATTATTGTCGATACTAGCATTATTATTTTTATTTTACTTATTTTTTTATTTACATAAGCACTGATAAGATTTTTATTTGATCAATCGTAGCAATTGTAATACATTGAAATCAAAAATTATACATTAATAATAAATTTATATATTAAAGTGACTAATTTAAGTGCCAATATAAAATAAATTTAATACTTATAACAGAAGTTTCAAAACAATCGATGAGTCTACTTGATAAGTTGTTAATAAAGCATAATTAGTTTGAATGAATAAAGTATACAAATAAATACCTTGAACATTGATAATTTTGCTAGTATACATAAAAAATTTTTCAAATATCAAGCTTTAGGCCATTTTTAGATCAGAATCTATGTGTTGCTTAGCCAATTCAATATAGCAATCTGAAGTCCCAAAAGCAAATTCAGATTGCTAATCTTTCCTGCAAGTTCATCAAATTTATACCTATCAAAAGTCTTTATCCAATTGGCATCTGATATAATGCTTCAAAGCTGTTAAATATTATCAGCTTTTGTAAACTTTTGAACCTTAGAAAACATTAAGCATGACTATATATAGTATGAGTGTTGCCAAAAAAAAACTCACAAATCTTATAGGATTTGCAGATTTTCTTTTAGCAGCACTTATACCTTTTGAATCTTTTTTTTTTATACCTTTTAATCTACTACTGCAAAAAATTTTTTAAAAACTTGTGAAAACATCTATTATCTGCTTATTGAAATATTATCAATATTCATTCGTTTCTATGCTTTGAGTTAATATGCATTTTTTATAATAAATTAATATAGTTGATACATATTTAATAAACTGTACATTAAATAATTAACTTACTTCTTGCAAAAATTATGAAACCTTAAGTGCAGTAGTGTGATAGTTTACATATTTTTACAATTCGCTGTCGCCATCTATTTTTCAATTTCAATCTTTTGTATACTATTTAACCAGGTTGCAAAGAATACAGTGCCAATTTCTCCTTCACCAATATTATTTGATCTATCAAATAAACCTCACAAAATCGTAAATTCATAATCAATTCTACATTAAAACACTTTCGTGCAATCATCAATCACTATTCTCTATTTGTGGTCAATAATTTCTGACAAATAGTTTAGCTCAGATTCAGGAGAGATCCCAGCTGTGATTTAATTGAGATTTTAATTAGTAGGAATATCAGTGTAATGAAATACAAAAAGCAAATGTATGTACGTATGAACAAATTCAATATTTAAATACATATCAGATTAATACTTACTAGAAAATGTGTATAAGATTCCTTTCAATAGTAAAATTATCATGAATTAGATTCAGATACAAATTATAGTTCTTTATTAATCGTTAGACTGCCTATTATAAATACATACAAAAAAATATTTGTGTTTTATAACTTTCTGATTATTATGTTTAAAAATTATAAATTTGTGACATGAGTTCTATATACATACTTTTACTGCATTTATTACTATGTTCAAGTAATTTCTACTATTTCCTAAAAAAAAGAAATGGGTTTTGGGCAGGAGAAATGGGTTGACTTATGTTTTGTTGTTTTTTTTAGGTGGGGAAACAAATTTGATACAGTATTTTTTTAATTTTATCCAATCAACACGTGATTATTTGCAGATCAGTAAATATTAAATTCTGTTGATCAGCCAATATATAAATTTTTTAAAATGACTTATAAGATATATATGTATTTTGTTTAATTTTAATTTAAATTTAATGTAAACTTTTTTTTATAATTAATTTATTAAATTATAAGCTAAAAAAATAATACTGCAATAATAAATGGCAACTTTACAGTGAATAAGTTTTGATACACTGGTCCCTTTTAGATAATTTTTCTACCTAGATAATTACTTTGATTTCAACGAGTCTAGAATCTAATCTCAGGATTTCAAAATTGGATTCATTGCAAAAATCAGCTGACATGAAATTATCTATTGTGGTTAGCTTTGTGAAATTTGCATATTAATCAACTGACATCTAATTTCTGTAATTCAATATTATATAAGACTTGATAAAATATATGGGCTTGGTGCTACAGAAAAAGAGAAAATCAACAAATTTTTTAAAACCTATTTTTTTGTATAAATCAATTTAGAATAAGATCAGAATTTATTTTTCACTTAAAACACAAAAACAATTGTCTTAATAAAATCTTGCAGAATAGCTTTTTGAAATTTGTATTTTCTTATAATTTATTATAAAATTTATAACAAAAATTGATTTTCCAAAGATCTTTTTTTTTGTCAATTTGCTAATCTTGATAAATAATATTATACGTATTACAAAGAATCTAACAATGAGTGTTTACTTTTAATTAACTAGTATTTTTTTCTAGTACCTATGGGCATTGAAATATTTATTATAACAAAAGAATTCATTTGGTTGATTATTAATTCTTATAATAAGATTCCATACATTTATCATAATTTTTACTATATATATGTCATAAGTGGGAATGGAATTTAAGTAGAATGTTCTAGTTAAATTAGGGTTAAAGATAGGGTGTTTATATGATAAAATCAACCTCAAAATGCGAGTTTTATATAAAAATTTTGAATTCACTTAAATTCCGTTTCCACTTACAATATATATAAAAGTTATTAACAAATCTGATTATATTAGATTAAATTTTGTAGAAATAAAATTGAATAAAAAATTGTTATAAAATTTGTAATTTTGTTATTTGCAAGTAATAAATTTATATAGTAAATAGATAATAAACTAAAGAATTTTTATTGCTTGTATTTTTGTATATATAGGATGTTAAATACAGGATATTAATGAAGATTTAAGAATTGATGATCAATCAGATAGTGCATGATGTAAAATGGATCAATACTAATACTAACTCAACTTTACAATTTGGAGGTTCGGTATGAGACAAGGGGACAGTTACTTTAAATCAATTGATTATTTATTATGATGTTACTCATATTATATTTTAGCAAGTTTACAAATAAGAGCATTATTTAAGTCTATAGTTTGATTGTTATGTAAGTATAGATAAATGTAGCTATTAAGTACATAAAAAATGTAATAATCAATTATAAATTAGTAATTATAACTATATAACTGAGAAAAAAAATTTTTTAAAATTAATAAATTTCATTTTCTCTATATAAAATTGCTTATTGTTATAACAAACCAATATGTTATCAAATAAAGCACTGCGAATTAGCATAACATTTATTAATATGAAAATAATGATTTTGCTCTTGAGAGCAACTCTGCTAAAACTTCAGCATCTTATAATTAATTGTGTTAGTTTAGCAAAGCAAAAAAGCAACCTACAAAGAACTTTAGAAAACTGCATAATGGAACACAAAGATCTTAAAAGCTGCAAAACATTATGACAAGAGTTAACAACAAAACAAATAAGTGATTTATTAGCAAGACTAAACAGACAAGATAGTCTTGGTTAGTTAACAAAATTAAGAATAACACAAGAGTGTCAAAGAGCAGATTTAACAAAAAATATATAAAAAATAGAGGAAATATCAGAAAATATAGAAGATTAAAAAAATAACTTAGTTTGTCTGACATTGCTAAAAACAAAAAAGTTTAATATAAACATAAGTACAGAAGACAGTTTATGGACAATGTTTAGATATGAAATCAAAATAAGTAAACTCATAAATATACAATTACAAAAAAGAAGTAGTACTAGAATAAATGAAGCAAACTTAATATATCTAAACCAGCTAATAGATACAAAAGAAGAGAGATTAATTATATGATAGCACCTAAAAAGTTAACAAGGTTTATCAAATAAAGGAAAAAAAGCAGAATGGTTCAAAGTAATAGAATTTAAAGTGCTTATTAGACCAGAAAATAAAGAAGTTAAAAGACAATTTAGAACAATTGAGCAAAATACTCAAGCAATACAAATGAGATAGGAACATATTTCAGAAGACAAAAGAAAAAAAAAATAGGTAACACATAGTGCACAAAGTAATCAACAGTTAGGAAAGATAGTCAAGAAGAAAAAGAAAAAAATATTAGTAGAATATTGGCAAATATAAAGTAAAAAAATGAATTAGTTATTGAAATTAACAAATATAAGGGTTGTATAAGAAAAAAAGAATACCAAAAAGAAGCTACCAACAATGAATAAGAGTAAATAACAAAATCAATGTGATCCCAGATGTATTGATAAAAAAAAGCAACAACAAGATCAAAATAGCAATATATTAAATAACAGAAATGATAAAAACAAACAAACCAGTGACAAGAAAACAGAAACTTGAAGGACTAAGAATAATAGAAAAGTCAGAAGTAAAGATAATCAGATGACAAAAGCTAAAAGGCAGTATTAGTTAAAAAATAGTAGAAGTTTTAAAAAGAAATATAACAAGAAATAAGAACAAATATGTAATATATACAGACAAAACAGCAAACCTGAAAACTAAAGAAGACACAAAAAGCAAAAATAGTATGAGTATAGAGTGAATGCAAACAGATAAAATACAGAAATAGCTAAAAG